TATTTTCCGTCCGTGTGTGTGCTACCATTATCTTGCTGGTTGATGCATGAGGTTTATGACTCCTGGAATAAAATCGCGAGAGACAACGTTACATCCTCCTTTTACAGCAGGATTCTCTATGTCCTTTATGCTGACATTTAGTGCAGTGGTAGTATTTACATGGACAAAATATCTTATAATGCCACTCGCCGCATGAACAGCACGAGGATGGAGGCTGTTTGTTTGAGCTGCCCTGCTTTCGTAGAAAACAATCTTTTTGGCCATTAATTAATTGCACGTATGGTGGTCGACCACTGTTTTGAACCACAGAAGTGTCATCTTTTAAGCTCACTAGCCTCTAACATTCACTAGCCAATTCTTATAGCGTAATGTTTGAACACTGTTCAATCTTACTCAGAATTCTGGTACTGTTGTCGGCATCTTCGGATGACTGCAAGCTGCACACAAAAACAAGACACTTAAACTGGTCTGTCATTCCTGATAATTTGAACCGCTCGCACTCGCGAGTTACTATGCCAGAATTTTTCACCCAGTCATTGTCTTCAGCTTTATCCAACTTCAGACATTGATAAAGAATATTGAATAAAGATGACTTCACCAAAAATTTGCGACAAAGTTACGACCGTTGTATGAGAAGAAAGGTCTCTAGTATTCTTGGCGAAACTTAAGTTAATATAGCGTTCATTTTCATCTGTGCCAAGTTTGCGTAGTAGTACTTCGACCTTTGCAGCATCATTAAAGTTTTCTAGGTCGGCCTTGAATATATCTTTGTATTTCTGAACTTCTTATAACTACCTTGAGTTCACCAGTGGGTCGTTCTCGCAGTTGGCTTGGTATGAATAAAAACGAGGGAGTAGGCATGCTCCTGTGCAAGCTGCAAGAAATCTAACTTGTTAGACACAACAAACATCCCTTACTCACTTTTAGAACTCCATAGGCTCGTTTCGCACATGTTCATATGGATTCAGTAAGACATTTACTATTACATTTTTCGCGCCGGTAGGTACCTCTCGTTCTACTGATAGAAAAATCCAAACTAGTAGTGAACAAGCCTTTATTTAGATCGTGGTGCGGTATACAGTGGAGCGCCAGATTACCTGTTTAAACACACAAAGCTTTCGACATATATTTAGATATTTGAGGTCGCTCTTAACTAATCAACCTAAGTTGTAACATAAGCATCCTCCGAAAATCGACTTCCGTAGAAATGTCGGTTCGATCAACTTATCTGTCGAAAACATCTCACTTCCGTTGCTCCAGCCCAAGAGAGAATTAATAACTCCTTTGGTGCTAGACGTTCAAACACTGATTACCAATCACGTCAGTATTCGGCGATGTTTCATGGGGAAGCCAATGGGAACTCAATGTAAGTAAGTCGGTGCTCTAATTGGTGATCTTATCACGTGATGATTACGAAGTCATAACATAACACTAACCAGATTTAAATGCATACTCTTACGTCTTTGTGTGTGGACCGCTCTATACGTTGATCAGAAGGAGTTCTCATCAAAAGCACTACTGTTGAAACAGTGGCCTGCGCCTCCGTCGAACGATAGGTGGCATGCTTATGCTGTCCTTCAACTATCACTACAGACCGCAGGTGCCAGTTCAAATCCGGACTTTTTCATTGTCTTATTGCATTACTAGGAATCATAAGATTTCGAAAAACTACCTACCACCAACGAGCCTGCTGGCTGATAGAACAACCTCCCCGACAGCTGAAGGCTTCACTCTTAGCTGCAAACGTTTCACAGGTAACAGACTCTCTTCTTCTCGTTTTACTCGGTATTCGTAGTGCAGTGAAAGCTGACGTTGGATAGACTACCAAGTAATCCTGTTACAAGCAAACTAGACAATTCGATAATATACGAACCCTACTCAAGACCCTATGATACTTAAAAAAATAATAATACAAAGAAGGTGAAAAGGGCTCCAACAGCTTCGATAAAAAAAGGAAGATAGTCAATTGTATATCACAATACTGTTTTTAGCACTATATTTTATGACCACACATAATCTCATATTTTCAGCTCCTTTCTGAATCCCCTCCATTTGTCAGTTGTATGTCCACTCATACCTTGTTTACACTTATTTTCTTTAACCTATTCAAATGCTATTGCTTAACAAATATCTTAATAAAAGAAAATTAGACTGAGTAATCATACCTTAAACATTCCTTCATGAATATTGGCTACTCTGCCTCTCGTGTTTTCTTTTACTTGCTCCTTCTTTCAGCCACCTTGAGATATGGAACTGGTGACTTCATCCTGCACCATCCTTAAAGCCTTAGATATTCCAAAGGGACATATGGTTGCGATTTCTAGAAGCTCCCACTTTCAATGGACCTATCCTTGACCATCAATTGCACATTCGCGACGCGACTTTCATGAAGCGCGTCAGCGGTGATACTGGCTAAAACAATCTACATTCATATCTTTTAAATTATCAACCCAGCTGAGTAATTTACTACAGTGGGCATTGTATCATTTGTAAAAATTAGATCTTGCCTGTAAACTGGAATGTCTCATGTAACAAACTGTTATTTGAGAATAAATTATTGTTATTATTATAACTCGTCCGGAGAAAAGCGCTCCGACTTCCAGGAGAACTTGTAGATCATTCTCCTTCCCTCGTTTCATAGCGATATCGAGAAAATGAGACTTGTTTATATTTTCACGTCCCATAGTAAAATAGATATATATGGATGGTCTTTGTTGGAACGTTTTAGCAGATTTGTCGCATGATGTTGATTATCACATATGATGGAAGTATCATCATGAGACATCATTGTCATTTTTCTTCAATTTACAACTGACTGGTTTCCATTTTGCTATGGAATATGAAAATAAGAACAAGTTCCATTTTTTAAATATTGTAATGAAACGAAGGAAGGATGGCACAGTTCAATATTCAGTTTATAAGAAAGATACATAGAATGAGGTTTATCTCAATTTCAATAGCTTTTGTCCAATCAGTTACAATAAGGCACTTGTAAAAACACTGTTTCACAGAACAGAAAGAATATGTACTGCTGATTCACTAGAAAGTAAGTTATGAATGCTAAAAAATGTTAAAAAAAATAACGGATACACACTGAAATTTATTGAGAAATATGGGAAAAGTGAAGGTGAAAAAAAAACAAAGAAAGCATAGCAAATAAAAAATTACTCTTATTCAGCTTAAATTCAAAAGTGAGGATGTCACAGGGTCAACCAATATGAGCCTAAAAACTGCAGTGACAGGAACTTATCCTGTAGCTTAACTGATTGTCCTGCCCAAAAACGTGTTTTTTTGACACAATCAAAGGTCGATAAGTATCCCTTTCATGCTACCACCAACTGTTTTTACAAATTTATATGTATCTGCTAAAGCAGTTACAATGGTAGAACAGAAAGGAAAGCCTACGTCCGATGCAAAGAACATATTCCGAAAAATTTGAGGTCAAATATATTAAAAGTATTCAGCAGTGCCATTGCAAGACATCTCTTTGACATGAGAAATGGATTTACTACGGTGAAGTCCTTCAAGGTGATTAACAAACAATCGAATTCCAACCTTTTGAAATTTGCAGAAGCGATAGCAATCAAATGTCTAAAACCAAATCTATGTATCCAAAAACAGATAGTAATAAATCTTTCTTCGCCCCGGTAACATTAGGACCTTTTTTATTTATTACGTCATTTATTATTTCAGCTTCTTCTAAAGTTTAAATTACAACACTGTCATTTTTCTTCAATTCACAACTGACCGATTTCAATTCATATCTTTCTTTATTCCCATTAATCTACTTTCAGTTTCATCATTACACAATCATCTAATGTTTGTTAACTCCATGATTTCTAATCACTATTTCAGTGTTCTAGAACTGTCCCTCTCAAACTTAATTTATCCGAAACAAAATTTTTATGACCATATTAGCTCTATTGAAATCCTGGCTACATCATGATACATATATTCATCTTTAATCACCCTCTTAAACATAAGTATGTCAGTATCTGTAATAACGTTGATGTTCAATTACTTTAGGTTGTAGGCATTTGATGAGAATCAAACAAAACAAGATGCATTCATATTTTTCCGCACCAATCTTCGTTCTTGTTCTTTTTAAATTTTCTTTGTTATATTTGGCCGCATATTCTCTTTTATTAGGGAAAGAAGACTAGGTGCTAATGAACATGGCAAGCTATCAGAAGAGTGTCCGCCAACGAAAAGCTCGTAGGGTGCGCACTATCGGCTGAAAACGTCTTAGGGTAGTCATCACCCCACTAGGGTGAGGGAGTGAGCCTTAGTGGTAGATAAACCCACTAAATAAATAGTTTTGTGACTTTTCGACACTGATGCCGACCTCAGTAGTTTTGCTGAACACGTCCTTGATGGAGACGCTCCGTCACGCGTCCGCATCAGATCAAGAGTGGGTACGCTATGCTACGCATCCGTTGCAACTACTTGCTAGCTTAGACCAAACACTTCTCGACGTATCGATAGCCTTCCAAATATATCTTTGAACTCCTTCATTTCTGAATTCTGATTTGACCGAGTCCGAGCACTCCGATTATAAAGGTGTTACTTGAAAAGGCGTTGTCAAAATCGGAATACCTGTGGCATCTTTTCTGCGATAGAAATTATTATAAAATATTCAGTAAATTAATAAACGAAAACACGACCGTAATTTCGGACTGTGATACACTTACATGACTTGACAACGTTGAATTTATCCACATCAGACATCGTTTTTGCTTCTACCTTTTTGCTCCCACTAGAACTATTTATCTCCGAAAACGGTGATCGAATAAACTCAGGTTGAAATCCCTTCTATAGACATCGAATAGTAATAGACTAAAACGCCTTACTAGAACTAATGTTATCAGGACCAACAGTAGACGTTTTCAAGCCGAAACTGAATTTTCACAAGAAAAAATGTGCAGCAAGAATTAATACAACTGACTTGATAATCGTTTTTACAGATTGAAGATTGTCGATTGACGGATTGGATCGACCTTGGATTTCGTTCAAAAGGGTCAGGATCAGCCGGACGGATGATGTCATTACTATGTCTCTGAATTCTTTGTCTACATACCTTTCCATTTGTATTTTCACATGTGTAGTATACATACATGTTAGAGGCATATATTCGTACGGTTCCCAAGGGTACGAATTCATGTTCAGAAAGTATTGCTTTTTAATTGTAGGGTGTTAATAGCAAATACTGTTGATGGTTCGTTCATCGGCTTAGATATAAGAAGTGGAAAGTTGTTTTGGAAGATAGATGGCCCTCCTCTTGTTTCCCAGAGCTTGAGTGATCTCCAGGTATCTTATCATCCTGACGGCTTAATAACTATCACATATTTTAGCTCATAACAAAAACGAAATCATATAGTATTGTTCCTTCTCTTGATGGCCAACTTTTTTTGATGGAGAAAGAGCTGACAAATGGCTCAGATCTATTAGGTGGTGCATCACTTAAAGCATTACCACTGAGCATCGACTCTTTATTCTCTTCAAATTTTATGCTCACAGAAGATTCACTACTAACTGGAGGACGAGAACATTCAACATTCGCTTTCAATCCTAACAGTGGCAAAGTTAGTCTGTTACATTTGGTGGCAAATCGCATTGCTTGTTATTTGATTTAATAGTTCACAAAGTTTACTTAATCTAGAAAGAATATCTTTTAGCTGACTGAGGTCTTTAACTCAAGGTTATCAAAAATTGAAATTTTATGCCTAAAAAGTTTGTTAAAGTTTACGTGGACGTGTTTATGGAATTCTGAATCAACTTTGGGGACCCCATTATTAGACCGAGACGGATAGTTATTTTGTCCGTACTACTTATAACTAACACCAGCTGTGCTTGGTGACATTTAGGGCTCGGACCCATCTAACAGGTGTCTAAATGTTAGTGTGTGGTTTCAAATATTTCAAAACATGTTTTATGGGTGAATGCATTATATTTAAAAGTTGACCTGACATTGGACTAGTGGACGGGCTGATTTCTTAACACACTTAATATTACTTTATTTTGTGGCCAAAACTTTTAATTTAAAGGCTAATGGTGATTCCTTAACGATGTCACATACTTCTGTCTTCGCACCTGAGCAGCATTTCATTTTTCACATCAACCATAAAAGCAAAATAACGAATAAACATTAGCTATGAATTGAAATGTTCTGAGTCACTTAAGTGCAAAACATGTAAACTCAAATAGTAACAAGTAATTTCCTGTCATATGATCACCTGCCTTTGTATTCGAATTTATCATAAAGATACCAATGTGAGTCAATTTGTTCACTCCCAACTTTGGTGGAATTGACGTTTCACCTGGAAATCCTGGGATACGCATGAAATAATCTAATATTCTTCCTAAATGAGAATATTCGACCACTTTGTTTGTGTTAATTCTCGAAGAAAGTAACTCCTCTAAAACGCCCACTGGCTGAGCTAATTCCGCTCAGTGATAAAAATTCGATTCTCACTCTGATTATATTAGGTCAGTAATTTTCAGTTTTCTCTCTTACCTGAGACTGGGTTCAAACGATGGTAGAACTGTTGCCCTCAGAATTTAAGGGTGCACTTTAGAAAAATTTGCTCTCAAATCCCTTTCATATAGTTGCTCGCTTATCGTCTCTCCCAGAAAAGCCTTCCTGCTTGCACATAGCAAAGTTTCCGTATGAAATTGAGGGTGAAAGTACACCTGGGGTCTTGATTACTAATATAGAACACCACTAATAACAATTGGAAAACACTGATTTCGAGCTACTCCAGTGTGTTCGTCCCATAATTCTAACTTACTTAGGCCTGTTACCTATCGTGGAGAAGCATAGACTGTCCACCAGTACTCTATAGAACTCTATCCTGGACGATTCTTTCCAGTCGTTTCCAGCTACTGTTCATCCTCCTTACGTCTGCTTCCAATTCCCGATACACTGTGTTCTTTGGGCTTCCTGTTTTCCGTTTCCCTTCAGGATTCCAAGTCAGCGCTTGCCTAATGATGCAGTTTGATGGTTTCCGAAATGTATGACCTATCCACTTCTAACCTCTTTTTCGAATCTCTTCTTGATCTGGAAGCTGGTTTGTTGTCCCACAGTAGGCTGTTGCTGATGGCATCCGGCCAACGCACACTGAGTATCCTGCGTAGACAATTGTTTATAAATACTTGTACTGTTTTGATGATGATTGTGGTAGTTCTCGAAGTTTCAAATCCGTACAGTAGAACTGTCTTGACGTTCGTACTGAAGATTGTGAATTTGATATTGGATGGCAGTTGTTCTGAGTCACATATGTTCTTCAGGTGTATGAGTGCTACCCTTGCTTTGCCAATCCTTACCCGTACGTCTGCATCAACCCCTCCTTGTTCATCAATGATGTTTCCCAGGCACATGAAAGATTCCACCTCTTCCAGAGTTTCTTCATCAAGTGTGATTGGATTGGTATTCTCCGTGTTGTATTTGAGGATCTTGCTTTTCCCCATTGTGTATGTTGATACCTACTGATGCAGAGGCTTCTGCTACCCTAGTTGTCTTTACCTGTATTTGTTCGTGTGTATGGAAGAGAAGGGCCAGGTCATCTACGGAGTCCAAATCGTATAGTTGTATTCAAGCTGTTCATTGTTTTCCATGCTCCCCGTCAGATATGAAGGTTTTCATAATTCAGTCAACCACCAGAATAAAGGGAAAGGGGGAGAGTATGCAGCCTCGTCTTACCACCTAAACCTGCTATTATTAATGGAGTTATTCTATTCTGACAATTCTAAATATGAAAAATGTGGCCCACAAATTTGAAACAAATCAAGCGCTTAATGCTGTTTTCAAAGAGGTAAATTAAAATTTATTATGGTTTTCAGTGTCTTGATTTATCAGCGCCTGTATTTTAAATATGGGCCACTGTCAATTCTAAATCGTTTAGTTATATTCTCTTCGATTTTTGAACTGAGACTTATCAATAATATTTGCGAAACTAAGGTTAGTAGTATTAAGACAAAAGCAATACATCTGCCATGAAAAGATTACGTATCAAGTCGAACTTTATCAACTTATTTTAGGCATAGTCTCGATTTTTATAGTTTTTTTCCTCTTTTGATTATCCATAGTGTGTTAGTAAACAAAAAGCAGAGTCCCGGTTTTTTGTTAAATATTCAGAGAATTTTTTCTCATTCATTTTCTCTTCCCTTTATGATTTTTTTTGTGTTATGACTCGTATTCTTAATTCGTTTTCATTTTTCGTCCAATTAATTCCAGTAAATGTCCCATCTTTGCTTGTTTTACAGATCAGATATAATTGTACCCGTGATGGGTGTACTAGTTCTGATGTTGATAAAAAGTTGGTTGAAGAACCTCCAAATACAAACGATCCTACCATTATAGTGTACAGAGTAAATAACGTAGTCCGCGCTGTAAGTGCTCCATCGGGGGTTGAAAAGTGGAATTTGAGCGTTCATCAATACGAGCTTTGCCTGTTAACTGGTGGAATTCCTACCCCAACTACTGCTGTGCAGAAAACTTCACCTATTTGTAACTTACCTTTGGGTACTCCAGTAAGTTGTTTATATACTCTGTCAAACACTGACATTATGGAATATTTAAGTATACGTATGAGACTGTTTTATGCGACTTTTCTATGAAACCGGATTTTCGTGATAATATTAGTTATACGAGTATTTAATGTGCACCTAAAACTGGTGTTATTGTAGCAAGCAAATTCTTTAATAGAATGCCAAAGTTCTTCGTGATTATAATAACCGTTGTTTCGAAACCAGTGTAATTCTGACTGAATCAGTTGGATCAATCTATTTTTATTTGAAACAAGCAAGTGCTAGTATAAATGTCCATCAGAATAAACATGCACCGTATAAATACGAAAACAAAACTGTGGAAAGCTAGACAGAGGGTGGATAAAATCGAGATAAATAAATAAATTAAATAAGTGAGCGAGGATAGTTTATGATAGGAGAAACAATTCAGACAAAAAGTACGACCAAGAAGACTTTCACTTGAAAGACTTCCGCTCACTCCTATGAATAAAGTAAAAGAAAACTACAACACGACCGCCATTGGTTTCTATTTAGACCCATGTCTCTCGATCGTTGTTGCTACCTTGACGTGGTGGTCGGGCTAGCCTATCGTGATGAACCAGTCGGGCTATGCTGGCTGAAGCAATCGTTCCTCAAGGTCCTACTATACCATAAAGATTGGTTGGAGAACGGTAAGACTAAAGACAGCAAACCCAAGGTCCGAAGGCGAAGCCGTACTGCTGACTGTACAGAAGTATGACGGCAGTAAGGTGTTTCCGTCAAACAACCAGCATAACAGCGATGCTGCCTTCCTACAAGGAGGGGTGGGGTGGGGTTAGAAAAGTTCGACCTTAAAAATGCACACCCGCCTTGTCCCACGAATATCCGTCTCTGGCGGTAAGGTCTCAAAAAGTGGTGGTAAAACTCATCCTTGATTGCATCTGGGCTGCAATCTGTCGGGGCATAGGCGATGACGAAAAGACATCGTTTCTCACGCCGATTTCTTCTCAGTTTGATGGAACTTTCTAATCTAGCAGCACATAACCGACTGTTACTAAGGATCCAGTCGATTAGAGCTGCCTCAGCTCTAGCGCTTAGTGCGACACCAACGCCAGCAAGACCAGACGAAGATGCCACAGGGTCCCCGGATAAGCGCACGTAAAACAAGCTTTTCGAAGCGAATTTGTAGTACTTCACTAGAGTCTTGAATACGGGTCTCGGATAGACAGCAGACATCGAGTTGCCACACCACATTAGCACAGAGATGCAGTGGTCGATTCAAATCCCGTAGTGCTAGATGTAGTAAGATTATAAGCTGTAATCAGAAAAATTAGGGTTTGAAGATATTATTCAAGGACTATAATCCAGTGAAATAAATTTGGAAAGAAAAAAAGAAAGGGACATGAAGAAATCAGAAGATTAGAATTTGGGAGAACACAAAGAGTGGATGCACCTGCGCCATTGCAAACGATTTTGAGCCATGTCATTCAAGGTCTCTAACCATCGGTTGCTGTCATCTCGCGGTCCCCTACCAGGTAGTCTACACCTACCAACATGTCTCAGTTCACTTGTCAGTGACTTCATGAACTTATGCCATGTTTTGGTCTGGCCGCCCCTAGCTTTCTTCCAACCTACTCCTATACCACTGAACATAGCACGTCGAGGCAGTCGGTCGTTGGGCATACGTAACACATGTCCCAGCCATCTCAACTGATGAAGTTTCACTACTTCATCAATCGATTTGCCATCCTTACCTAGTACCCGTTTCCTAACAACTGAGTTACTTACTCGATGGTCCCAGGATATACGAGCAATGTTTTGAAGACACCTATGGTCAAATACTAGTAACCTACGAATATCCTCTACTCTTATTGGCCATGTTTCACTGCCATAAAGTAGGATGGAACGAACTGCTGCACAGTAAACCCGTCCTTTGGTTGATAGACGGATATCTCGCCTACGTCATAAATGACGCGAGTTGGTAAAAGCTAGTCGAGCCTTCTGTATCCGTGCTGAGATTTCGTCACACACCAGACCACAAGGGCTGATGAGACTTCCAAGATAAGTGAAGCGGTAGACACACTCAACTACTTCACTCCCTATCACTAGTTCGGGTGTCGATGTAACCCAATCCTGAAGCAACATTTTGCATTTCGAGGGGGAGAATCGCATCCCGAACATGCTTGCATTGTTGCTTAGAGTGGTTAGAAGACTCTGCATTTTGTCAGCGTCTTCACCAAATAAAACTATGTCATCAGCATATTCTAAGCCAACAAGTGAACCTCCCGTTAGAAGTCCAACCCCTGGAAATCTAGACGAGGAAAGTGTTATGTCTACAAGTACGTCGACGACAAAGTTAAACAAGAATGGAGGGCAGCCAGTTTGAATAGTGCACGTGGTTTCAGAAAAACTGCTTCAGTACTCATATTCATTGGTAACATACAATTCTCAACCGGACAGTGACTCGAGAACGTTTAGATACAGTCGAATTTTCACCAAAGACGAGCCGCTGTATAGGTATAAAAGAGGGTGAATAATGTTACTTACTTACTTACTTACGCCTGTTACTCCCAATGGAGCATAGGCCACCGACCAGCATTCTCCGATCCACTCTGTCCTGGGCCTTCTTTTCTAGTTCCATCCAATTCTTGTTCATTTTTCTCATGTCTATCTCCAGTTCTCGGCGTAATGTGTTCTTTGGTCTTCCTCTTTTCCGTTGACCTTCAGGATTCCATGTGAGGGCTTGTCTTGTGACGCAGTTGGGTAATTTCCTCAATGTGTGTCCTATCCACTTCCAGCGCTTCTTCCTGATTTCTTCCTCCACTGGGATCTGGTTTGTTCTCTCCCACAGTACGTTGTTGCTAATAGTGTCCGGCCAATGGATCTGAAGTATTTTGCGTAGACAACTGTTAATAAACACTTGTATTTTCTGGATGATGGCTTTTGTAGTTCTCCAGGTTTCTGCCCCATACAGTAGAACTGTCTTGACATTTGTATTGAAAATCCTGACCTTGGTGTTGGTTGACAGTTGCTTTGAGCTCCAGATGTTCTTCAGTTGTAAATATGCTGCTCTTGCTTTGCCGATCCGCGCCTTCACATCTGCATCAGATCCACCCTGTTCATCAATGATGCTGCCCAAATATGTAAAGGTTTTTACATCTTCCAAATCTTCTCTGTCAATTGTGATTGGATCGGTGCATGCTGTGTTGTATCGGAGAATCCTGCTTTTCCATTTGTGTATGTTGAGACCTACTGCTGCTGAGGCTGCTGCCACGCTGTTTGTCTTCTCCTGCATCTGTTGTTGCGTGTGGGATAGAAGGGCCAGATCGTCTGCGAAGTCTAGATCATCCAACTGCATCTTAGATGTCCATTGTATCCCGCGCTTTCCTTCAGACGTTGACGTCTTCATGATCCAGTCGATCACCAGGAGAAAGAGAAACGGTGAGAGTAAGCAACCTTGCCTAACACCGGTCTTCACTTCGAACGACTTTGTCAACTGTCCTCCATGCACAATTTTGCAGTGTAATCCATCATATGAGTTCTGTATGATATTGACTATCTTCTGAGGCACGCCGTAGTGTCGAAGAAGTTTCCATAGTGTTGTTCTGTCCACGCTGTCAAATGCCTTTTCGTAGTCAATGAAGTTGATATAGAGTGATGAATTCCATTCAATTGATTGTTCCACAATGATCCGTAGAGTTGCGATTTGGTCTGTACACGATCTATCCTTACGGAATCCTGCCTGTTGGTCTCGAAGTTGGGCGTCTACGCAGTCCTTCATCCTGTTTAACAATACCCTGTTGAAGACTTTTCCCGGTATTGAGAGAAGAGTGATGCCTCTGTAGTTATCACACTTGCTGAGATCGCCTTTCTTCGGTATTTTGATCAGAAGTCCTTCTTTCCAGTCTGTTGGTACTTGTTCCTCATCCCAAATCTTATTGAAAAGAATGTGGAGTATCCTTGCAGTTGCCGCTACGTCTGCTTTTAGTGCCTCTGCCGGGATGTTGTCTGGTCCTGCTGCTTTGCCACTCTTGATTTGCCTGATGGCCATGCTGATTTCTTCAATTGTTGGTGAGCCAACATTGATTGGGAGGTCCGTGGGTGCTGCTTCGATGTTGGGTGGGTTCAGTGGCGCTGGTCGATTCAAGAGTTCTTTGAAGTGTTCTATCCACCTGTTTTGTTGCTCTTCAATGTTGGTGATTACCTTGCCTTCCTTGCTTTTCACTGGTCGTTCTGGTTTGCGGCGATTTCCAGAGAGTTTCTTTGTCGTGTCATACAATTGTCTCATGTTTCCTTCTCTTGAAGCCTTTTCCGCCGTCGTTGCTAAATCTTCCACATATTTACGTTTGTCGGTTCTGATGCTCCTCTTCACTTGTTTGTTTATTTCCGTGTATTCAGCTTGTGCCTTAGCTTTTTCTGCTCTTGTTCGGCTGGTATTGATCGCTGCCTTCTTGTTTCTTCTTTCTTGAATCTTATCCAGTGTATCAACAGTGATCCATTCCTTGTGGTGGTGCTTCTTGTGACCCAGGACCTCATGACATGTTGAAGTGATTGCCTCTTTGATCCCCTTCCAGTTGCTCTCCACAGTAGTTCCTTCTCCATTGAGTAGATCATGAAAGGCCTGGAACTTGTTGCTGAGGACTATCTTGAATTTGTTGAGTTTGTTAGTATCCTGAAGAAAGGCCGTATTGAACTTTTGTGATACTGTCTGCCCCGTTGTCCAGTGCTTCTTGAGTTTCAATTTCATCTTGGCGACCAGTAAGTGATGATCTGATGCTATATCAGCTCCTCTCTTGGTTCTCACGTCCTCTATAGTCCTCCTGAACGTTTTGTTGATGCAAATATGGTCGATTTGGTTTTGTGTAGAGTGATCCGGTGAAGTCCATGTGGTTTTGTGTATGCGTTTATGTGGGAATACGGTGCCGCCTATGACCAGCTTATTGAAGGCACATAGATTTGCAAATCTCTCACCATTTTCGCTTCTTTCTCCCAGTCCGTGTCGTCCCATGATGTCTTCATATCCAGTGTTGTCCGTTCCAACCTTGGCGTTGAAATCTCCCATCAGAATGGTCAGGTCCTTTGTTGGGCACTTCTCGACGATTGACTGCAGCCTATTGTAGAATTGATCTTTAGCGTCTTCATTGTAGTCGTTGGTAGGCGCATAGCATTGGATGATGTTCATTGAAATGCCCTCTTTCTTTGTTTTGAAGGAGGCTTTGATGATCCTTGGTCCATGAGATTCCCATCCTATAAGTGCATTTTGCGCTTGTTTGGACAGCATCAATGCAACTCCTTGTGTATGTGGTGCATTTTCTTCTTCATGGCCGGAGTATAACAGGAGCTCTCCTGTAGTTAGTCGTTGTTGTCCAACTTGTGTCCAATGTGTTTCACTGATCCCAAGTACCTCTAGGTTGTATCTTCTCATTTCTGCAGCAATTTGGAAGGCTCTTCCGGTGTCCCACATTGTACGAACATTCCATGTACCTAAATAAATGGTTGCTCTGGTTGTCAGAAGGGGCATCGGCCTCGTAACTTCCGAAGGAATTCGGCTTTCATCATGAGGCGTCATAATTCTTCTAAATGAAGACCTTCTGACTCCCAGGGCAGAGTTTAAAAGGTTTGAATAATTTTTTCTGGTTAGCGTTTTTTTAGCGAGTTAGTTTTCTACGGGATGGGGACGCTAACCCCATGCCCAACCCTCCTCCTTTATCCGGGCTTGGGACCGGAGGGACTCCAGGCGGAGTTGGGTGAATAATGTGGTAAATAATGATAATAATAATAATAATAATAATAATAATAATAATAATAATAATAATAATAATAATAATAATAATAATTTGAATCATTTGATTGTTAGTTGAAGCAAGTAAAGTAGTTTCCATAATTATAGGCAGTTCATCAAATTTGTGTGTGGGCTGTGATACTGCCTGGGTGCCCAGACCAAAGCAGGTAGTTTCCTTAGTGGGCCACACCTCGAGCCTTTGACCTAAAGGTCTAACCCACAAGGCAGTGGAGCATCGTAAGGAGATGCAGTCCCATGGTAGCCGGTGACCGAAAATTGGTTCATACGCCATTTGTTCCCGCAGGATACTGGAGCCCATGTGCACGATTGGTTTGGGATCCGGTTAAAGCGCCGGACCTACGTTGTAGCTGACTGACTGAGACCCATATCTGACAAAGTCTAGCTACTGACTCTTACTATCTCCATGACCTGAACCAGGAATTCGTGATAGACCGACAGATTTCAGTCGTATACATCGTTGTTTTCGTCCCTGGTGCCATGTCATACTCTAACCCTCTCTGCTCTTAACAACCGTTCCCAGCGTAAACAAATAATCAGCGATGTTGAACCTTTTGTTAACCTAAAACCTATTAGATTGTATTTGGATAATGCCATTTCATGTAACTGGATTTATTACAATATAACATTATATTCTGGTTAATAAACTTAGATACTGAACTGTAGTAATAAATTGGCGTCTGGCCAAGTATAAAATCTGAATTTAGCTGAATGATGAGAGTCCTACTGGAATATCATGTTATAAATCTTTCTCTTTTTTGATCTCACTCATATTAAAATGTCACAAGGAAGATTAACCTATTATCATACTTGGAACAACATTTGATGTATACATGATTTCATTATTACCCCATAGCTGTTGTCTAACTACAATAATCGGTAATTTAAAACAGGATTGGATAGATCTCACTATATGATGACTGTCTCGTAATACTTGGCTTTTTTATCTTTAGCATGCTCACAAAAAGTTTGTGGATGAGTCATTTATTGATATGGAAGAACCGGATTGGGATATTGGACTAGACAAACATACAATAACTGCAAGAACGAAAGGTTTACAGTCTGAAGAAATATGGTCCTACAACTTTAAATCAAGGATTTCAAAGGCTTGGATTTATCGTAGGGACCTACAAAACTTAAGACCATTGTCATTGTTTATGTGTAAGTTTTCCTATTCAGTGTATGTCAAGTGTTATATATACTACAGGTGTAACATACATAACGTATCTTCATATGTTGCTCTAAGCCAATTAGTTGTATTGTGATTTTTATCTGCAAACTAATATTTACGAGTTAGTTACCTTATGCGATAAACCATCGATGTCAACTTTTGCTAAAAATTGTATTAAAATCAGGCAGTTGGTTCCTTTATTGTTTACTTTGTGAGAAAATCAATTGTAACTCAATGACACTCACTTTTGACCACTGTTTTCCTTCGGATGTTAAAGGGTTGATGTTCCTTGACCATTCATTACCATACCTAAGCTAGAAGCTCATTTGACGATTAGTGTTACAACTTGTAAATAATTTACTAAGTACTGGGTTTATGCACTCTGGTTGAGTCATCTGTTTGTGCAAAGGTTACTAATACTATCCAGGTACCCAAACGGAATTAAGTAAAATATTATCCAAGTGATTGGAATAATATATCTAAGAATATCATACTATCCTTATATCTTTGGCTTTATTTGTCAATAAGATCACGAAAATTTAGATAGAACCGAGTTTCCACCATAGGCGAGCTGCTGTTTAAATCGAAAAACAAGGATACATAAAGTGGGAATAAAAACGAGGGTGAATAAATGACGTGTGTTCGGGCACAGAGACGATAATTCAATTGGTGTCACTATCTTGAAACACCGATTTCAGTGGCTTGGACATGTTCTACGAATGTCGTCCCAGAGAATTCCACGCCGTGCATTATTTGCCGACGCTGGAACTGGTTAGAAAAGGCGGAGAGGTGGTCAGTGCATGACATGGTGTCGTGGTATGAAAGAAAGCTGCAAAGGACTGGCTTGTGTTGGTCCTTCACGACTCCCTGGTTGGGGTCCGAGAGATGGCGCAACACAGTGGCTAGAGACGTTATCAGATATGACTCGGAATAGAAGCCAGTGGCGATCCTGCTGTAACCTCTTATTTTCTTCATAAGAAGTGGTTGTGTCTCCCTTAACTGAAAGATTTCTTCTGATTGTACGTTTCTGTCCCCCTCATTATTATTATTATTATTATTATTATTATTATTATTATTATTATTATTATTATTATTATTATTATTATTATTATTATTATTATTATCATTACACTACCTTACACTAGTCTGTTCGTTATTGTTCTTTTTTTCTCTTCGAATTCTCATTGTTTTGTGTGGCGCATATATATTTGGTACCCCCTTGTACCAATATTCATGTGTTCAAATAAATAATAAATAAAAAATACGAAAATTTTAAGGCTATTCCCGGTTATTTTAGATAAATGCAAGATCAAACATAGAAACTTAGTGTAATGGGAGGTCGAGAAATGTGTCAGACAATGCAATGATAATTTCATGAAGTAATAATCGACATAAGTTATGCTTAGAAAAAAACCATTCATATAAATGACCATTAGCGATTCCTTCTTTATCAAAGCATATTTTATTGTTTATGTAAAAAGCAAAGATGTTTAGTTTAGTGAGTTGATTATCACTGGATGGCGAGATGGTTTTTAATTAACTGCTATCTTACTGACCTTGATATATATATATATATATATATATAGTTATAAATTCACTAAGTCTATATTATCTGGTATTATACAGTCACATCGTTTTATTATACACAATGCAATATCACTGGCTTAAACGATTGATTAATGTTCAACGTTTCAAATAATATACATATTGTGCTATAGATTTTATGTTGAAAGAATATCTGGGTATTGCTATTTTTAAGGTTATGACAAATAAATTCTGAAGAGAATAAGCAATGCCTGGGTTAGGAATAAGGTACTTGGTAAGTCACTTGATAGTAAATCTCCATCAACTGAGGTGATTGAGATATGTGTTACATATGTCCAACCACCACCTACCTCGACGGGTGATGTGTGGTGTAGGAGTAAGCTGGAAGAAAGTTAAGGGCGGATAAACCAAAGCATGACATCAGTTCATGAATTTATTGACAATTGGTGTAAACTACCTGTCTAGGGTCCTCGTGATTATCATGACCAACCATTGGAGACTTTAAATTACGTGAATCACAGTCGTTTGGAATTGCACAGGTACATCCATTCTTTGTGTTCCCCCAAATTCTAAGCTTTTGAATTCGTCACAACACCTTGTTATATATAGTGTTGAATCGTATCTTCGATGCCTAATCTTTTCAATCACCACTCGTACTGTTACCAACTCTACTGTTCTGGAACTTTAACTCATAATTTCATCTCTCTGTACTAGTGGAGCATTTTAATTTGGACTGATGCACGTATTTACCAGGTTCTACGTTGTAGTTGACTGGTGTAACCTTACTCTATGAGTTATAATGTCAGTAGATGTTAACTTCACAATTAACTGTTCCCTGCTCCGCGCTACATAATCATTAATACCAGTTTCTACCATACTCAAATACTGTCTAAATGTCACTAATGCTAGTCCATTATCATTTCCAAGCGCAAGCTGTTCTTCAGAGACGATAGTGATAGAATAAATCTAGCCTCCCTGTAGTGGCAGTAGAGATTCCCATTAGTCACTAGTGAGATCATAAATATTATTGTTGTAAGATGTTAGCAAAGAGCGTTTGATTTTGTTGGTTTCGACTGAACAAGAATTCTCAACGCTCTGATGGGAAATTGCGATCAATGGAGCTAAGACAAGTAGGGAATGTGAAACTGATATTATAGTTGGTCATGGTCTATGGTCGTAGATCATTCTTGATTGACTTGGGGCTACTAGTGTGGAGAATCAGACCCTAACTCATCGACCTAAAATTCCTCGTTCGCTGCAATATCCTAAGATTTTAAGTCTAATCCCTTTTGATTCATAAGTGCATGCCGTTGTGAGTCCTGAAGGGGAAAGGAAATATCTGTTCAACACTCCTTAGTGTTTAGTAGTCATCTGATTAAAGTCAATCCGTTACATAAACTGTCTCCAAATTTGACGTTCTTCAGAAACATCGTAACCAGAAATGTATTTTTATAGTTTTTCTGTAATACCATTAACTGTCGATTGAATAAACTAGTGTTTAAAATCTCTATGCTAATCAAGAAATCTTGTTAGGAAATAGGACTACAGTTTACTTTTTTTATCGAGTATACAAAGTGAGTTGTATTTAATACTTCTTAATCTCAGTAGACTCATTTCCCAACATATATAATTACTTCCACAATAACTATACATGATTTTTTTAATCATACATTATGGTTCATTAATTATTTCACTCCAAGAATCATCCATGAATACAAACGGAGCTAATTTCATGTAGACAATTAATGTGAAGCAAAAAAGTTCAATTTTCAACACTGTCTTCGATTCCGAGTTCAAATATTTTGCTGTAGGTAGAACTGTGGAATCATTCATAATGTCTGAATTCACTTAGTATCTATCGTTTGTGCATAGAATGATTTATTTCTGTTATAACTTGTGACCGCCAATTAATGTTCAGTGACTTATCGATCGGATCAATGACGCGTAAACCCGTATGAGCAGCCTAGAGTTCTGATTGGCCCTGCTTTCCACATAGTCCATCCAGTTAAGTCCAGAACACCAGTCTCAGCCTCTGCGATATGAATCATTATATTTCAAACATACTGAGTTTATATACCAATCAAACAGACCACAACGTACCAATAAAATATGAAATAAGATTTGTACAAGAATTAGCCAGATGTGGCTGTGAATGAGAGAGGTAGTAATTAATATACTGGGGATAATTTAAGAAAAACTCCTCCTGTAGCTCTTCTAGAGTTACTGCCGGTCCCAAGCCTGGGTAAAGGAGGAGCATGGGGTTAGCGACCCCATCCCGTAGAAAACTAACTCGCTAGAAAAACGCTAACCAGAAAAAATAATTCAAACCATTTAAACTCTGCCCTGGGAGTTAGAAGGCCTTCATTTAGAAGAACTATGACGCCTCATGAGGAAAGCTGAGTTCCTTCGGAAGTCACAAGGCCTATGCCCCTTCTGACAACCAGAGCAACAACTTATTTAGGTACATGGAATACTCGTACAATGTGGGAGACCGGCAAGACCAGTCAAATAGCAACGGAAATGAGGAGATACAACTTGGCAGTACTGGTAAGCAGATATGAAAAGGATGAATAGGAACTGGAAAGGATTGCCCAGGACAGCGTTAGATGGAGAATGCTGGTGAGCGGCCTATGCTCCTTCATGAGGAGTAACGGGCGTAAGTAAAGTAAGTATAACTCAAGAATGGTAAAACGTATAATAATAGTTTATGGGTCAAAATAAAACTTATAATAAGAGGAATATGAATATGCATAGTTTAGTTACTTAATAATTATACAATAGAAATATAACAATTTCCCACTCGTTTTTCCCAGACATTGTGTTCGATTAATGTTGTACATGTATTTTTTATGTAGACATTGTAATTTAACTTCCAATAATGGTGAAATGTTAATGATCATTTTAGATGACAGAGTTGCCTTACTATTAATTGAAAAGGTGAATGAATTGGAAAAAACAACTGCCATTTCAAATTTTGGATCATTAAAAGGAAAGGGTTTGAATCTGTTCAATGGGAAATATACTCTTTCCTCATCACGTAAACAAAAACCTAAATGTCCATCACGCGATCGTCTTATTTATCTTGGTAGCTTAAATGGTCAGCTATATGTTCAAGTAAGTTCATGCAATGCAATCATGTGGTGTTGAATAGAAGTTGTGAACTTAACCACAGGGTTCTTTTTTGGAAGTGATATAATCAGTCAGTTTGTCAAACACTGAAACCTTGCTTCAGACAAACTTTCTTTATTATAGTAGCTATGGTTTTGGCCCTTCGTTTTATAAAGTACAAAAGTAATCGATGTAATAACACTTGTATATTCTACAAAGTCCTACATTTTGTTTACAATAAAGTGTTTTGTGTATGGTTTATATGAACCACTTTTAATGTAATTCAAGAGTACAACCTCTCTTTATCATGGTTATTAAAATAATACATTGTGATTAAGTGTGCCGTAGAGTTTGTGCTTATTACGAACTTAGCAATTATATGAATTCGGACTTGAAGTTTTGTAGATCTGACACCAATTGATATCATATTTAACGGATTCTAAAACCATTTTTCACAATTTCATTTGAGTTTTGAGATTTACTTTGATGTCTTAAACTGGTTCACTAGTAAGCGGTAGACTCAAATTTAATCAGTGCTAAAGTCAACCGTTGTGAGTTTTCTCAGATGTTTGCATTATAAAAGAATTCGTTGACCTTTTTATGTTTTCCTGTACGCGTAGATTAGTTCTCAATTAATATTATTCTAAATAATTATGTTATCATGTTCTATCCCTTTAATTCAGACTGAAGATGGTGTTGATCTTCCCAATCCGGAAAGGATAAATCTGTCTAAAAGTTTATCTATACATTCGGCTGAATCACTGAATAATCGTCGTTCTGATTTAACTGGCTACTATCAAGCATCCTATTCAAAATCGCCCAAATTGGAAAAATATACACAACCATTTGTTTTATATGATAGTGTTGAGGAAACAATTGAAAAAGCTACCGCTTTAGGATTTCCAAGTAATGTGGGACAATTCAAGCCTATACATGATTTTCAACCGGAAACGATACCTGAAAAGGTTTTAACTTCGACTGATATTCAAATGAGTGACACTAGTGGTATACCAGGACAATTTCTTGACAATGCAAACGATTTACTTATGCTCCTATTACGTGCCAGTGAGATTGCTGTAAATCATTCACCGTCTGGTATTGAAAATAGTAGGTCGTTAGGATTTAATCTGTCTACACATTTCATGCAATTGGTAGTTTTGACTGGAGTAATTTATTTTACGGCACATTGGATAATGAATGCGAGGATTAACTATGATACACAGTAGGTTTCTTTTTTCCAAAAAAGGCAATATGCTTAAATAAACCTTTTCTATTCTATTTATCTTTTAGTAATTTGCCAGTTGATTGTTATTTATTTACTGCAGTTATTGTACAATATTGAGATTTAAGGTTGTAAAGTACACCGACTGGTAAATAGTCTGTTTTATGTGTTTTACATTAGTTTCATTATAATACCTAGGATTCACCTAATTCTAATACATCTTTACACTTGGATAGTGATATCTAGGACAGAATTATCTGTATATCTAAACCATACTCCTGTATTGCTTTCAAAAAATATAGATTGGGAAATGCGATCTTTTTAGTATGTTATCCTTTGGATTACAAAACAATGAGCTAATGCGAGTTGCTTAGAATAGTAGGGTGTGGGTTGATGTTAGACTAATACATCTTTCTTTTGAAGTAAAATACTTTAGTTGTTATTGAAACCGTTTTAAATGTTTTAGTTTAATGTTGAATTAACTTTGAGTTTTATATCCTACTAAATTATGTAAAAAGAGATAATCGATAACAACCACGAGTGTATAAGATGATGAGTCAACAATACTGTTATTTGACAAAACTTATACTTATAACTAATATTTTAATGCCTACATATTTGTTAGCATACTTCTATGGAGTTTTAATATGCATCCTTGAAAAAAAACATGATAAGGTGTCTAAAGGATGAGCTGTTGATTCTTTTCAAATGGTAATAAATACAGTAGCAGTAGCGAATATATTCAATTTTGTTATTTTTTAAACGTAGAAGATTAAATAATTACGGACTAAGTATAGCCCATCATTATTAATAAAAATATTGAAATTCAGAATGGTATTAATAATAATTGTTGTTTTGTCAAATCTCTTAGATTCTTTAGAAGTAAAATGGAGTTAATAGTTATTGTTCTTTTATAGGATTTGTGACTTCTGTCCAAGCTATTTGTTTAATCATTTTACCTACAAACAAAGCATATCTGCTAGTGATTGTTTTTGTTTTTATTGATGATACACGTTATTTGCTCTACGAATTTACATTGAACAATGAAACTTTGTAGGGAATTTCGATTGTTACGAATTCTTATGAACAGTTACTTAAACTGACTTATCATCATTCCAGTAGGCTGAAGGTGGTAAATTGTGATACTTTTTGTGAATTTTCCTATTAGCTGTCATTTTTGAGTAATATGCCGTCATATATTTTTCTCAAAATAGTCTTTCAATTTATGACAACCATTCTTAACATTTGGTGATTCCTACAATCTACATATGATGTAGCTATTTGTTGCCAGTGCTACACAGTAAGCAGAAAATTGATAGTTTTATGTCACAAGCGTTTAATCATGGATAAAACACTAAGGCACCAAGCAGAAGAGTGGCTTAATAGCTAAAACACTCAGCGTTCAACTATTAAGTCATACATTTGAATCTCTCTCCACCTACCTACTAAAGTGCAAACCTCCGGGTAGTTCCACTACCCTTCACACCTTAAATATGACCTAAAAGCGGGTACAGGAACCCATGCTTTGTAAATTCGTTATCTAAAATACCAATCAAAATTGATATTAGCCACACCGGGTTCATGATTTATTGAATACGAAGTAAATGCTCAAATCAATACACTTTGGATCGGTGACTGGCACTAAAAATGACTTACTACTAATTTTAAGTAGGATTTTTCTGTCTTTAAATTTACGTAGTTTTATTTGTTCTACAGAAGTGACGTACATCAAGTCACGAAACGTCAGAAATACAATTTCCTATTCATCGGGATATAATAAAAGTATATTTATTGTTAACGTAGTTATTGTTTTTTCATTAATTTAGGTTGAAAAACTATTCGTTTCAGTCTGAGCCATGTAATTTGGAATCAGTTGTTGTCAAAACACATAGTTCATCGGGAGACTTGTGTGATTCACCAAAATGTCCATCATGTTCAACTCCGAATAACTTAACAACAAATCCTTCATGTCAGTCTCTGCTTAATACTGCCAATATGCAACCACCTAGTTTTGTTTCATCATTTGAAACAGATTTCAAGTATATACGTCGACTTGGACGTGGTGGTTTCGGTCAAGTGTTTGAAGTTGAAAATCGTCTTGATGGTTGTCGTTATGCTATCAAACGTATTAAAATGAACGATACCGACGATGATAAAAATATATTTTTACGAGAAGTAAAAGGTATGCATGAAATAACAATATTTATAATTTCGAATTGCACAACTTTCTTCACCGCGATAGCAAACACTATGTGAATTTAAGATCATAAAAGCTTGTTGCATATTTATTTATAAGCTTGTTTAATGTCAACGAAATCGGAATGATATAGTGATTCACTGACTTTTATTATACAAATCTTGCTAGTTATTTCATATGAAAGTAGATATTTGATTGAATAACCGTTATATTATCTGTTCAACATTCAACCAGTTTATAGAGATGGCTTGACAACCAACTAGCTTCCAACAGTTTTTAAATCTAAGGTATATATTTATATATATATCGTTGCTTTTTGTATCATTCATAATCTGCGGGTGTTTTATGGGAGAACACTATCCTTTTTGTTGTTTTCAGCTTTTCATATTCATGTATCTATGATTATGCAACATGGATAGTTTAATTAACATCAAGAAGTCTAATAATTCCCATTCATTTAATACTTGAAATCTTTAAGTGAATTGAAGCCTGATTGATTACCGATATACTAGTCATGGTAAGGCGTGATTAGCGAATGAACTCCCGACCGTTGCTGCTATTTTGATATGGTGGTCGGGCTTGCCTATCGTGATGAACCAGTCGGCTATGCTGGCTGAAACAATCGTTCCTCAAGGTCCTACCATACCAGACAGGTTGGTTGAAGAACGGTAAGACTAAAGACAGCAAACCCAAGGTCAAAGGGCGAAGTCGCACTGCAGACTGTACAGAAGTATGACGGCAGTAAGGTGTTTCCGTCAAACAACCAGCATAACAGCGATGCTGCCTTCCCACAAGGAGGGATGGGGTAGGGTTAGAAAAGTTCGACCTTAAAAATGCACACCGGCCTTGTCCCACGAATATCCGTCTCTGGCGGTAAGGTCTCAACAAGTACTGAGTTAACACATTGTTTTACTGGCCTCAAACAGTTGTCCTTTGGGCACTGCGGTCACTCTCAGGTAGCTAAGACCAACTCTAACTCAGTTCGTTCTACAGTTAATTCTAGAAGAACCCTTCTACGGTATTGGCAACCGGGAAGTGATAACCACCCTCATACCTGTTATAGTACTCAGCGATTGAGCAAAGCATATATATATATATATAATATTGCAAATGTCGTCCACTGTTGATTTGTACTCTAGACTCACTCTGTGTAAACCGCTTGTATTTCAGTTGATAAGCTATTGTGGGCACATATTCGATTCTTAATTATTGGTCGGGTATCGAATGTCTGTGTTACTTATTTCGCCATCAGTTTAGTCAAGTCTTATTGATTATACTGACCGTATTATTTCGTATCTATTATCGAACGTTATCAAATTTCTAATTCCTTCCGTTGTATTAATTACTTTAAATTATAGTCTGAATGATTTTTGCTTAGCTTTTAGTAGTTACCTATGTATTTTTCCATTCAGTTTTTGAATCTTTATTATCTCTGTCCCCAAAATAGTAACTAACCCGTATTTCCTTATATTATTGTGATTTTAATTCATATTATTGCTGGCATTATTAAGGTTAGAAATATTCTATTTATTCTTTTCGTTTATACATGTATTTTGGTTTAGTTAATTCACCTGTGGATTTTCTGAAGTTCTATTTCTAGTACATTCATAGATCGATAATAGAAATAGTTTTTCAGTATTAAAAATAGATTTTGTACACAATTCCATGCGACATCTTTTTTGTTTTGTGCTTCTTCTCTCAGCTTTAGCTACACTTGACCATCCAGGCATTGTCCGCTACCATCGGGCTTGGAAGGAATATCCTCCTGCTGGTTGGCAAGAGTCACATGATGAATTAGTACTCGGTTTATCTGACGACTTAACTTCGAGAAGCGGCGACTGTACAGATTGTGGGAACAATGAGAATTGTTTATCAAATACTCTCTTTTCGTCAAATATCGATTCGCGCCATTCAAGTGTATCGCTTTGCGTAGATAAAAGCTCAATAGGATTGAATGAGTATCATCACTCCAGGTACGTGATTTCTTATTATTTAAATTAGGGTTATTAACTCTAGGTTTAGAATTATTCTGACTGGATTTTTATTTGTTAATAAACATGGACTAATCAACTTAAAATGAACTATTGATTTTTATTATCCTGTAGCATAAGAACCCTCCATTCTAGCATTTATTCCTTAATGGTAATCAGCAAGTGATCGAGGAGTGCCTTCAACAACAATATTCCACTCATGGGGTTATAATTTACAAATTGAACAAAAACGTGACTTTCCTGAAAACTGAATAATACATTAAATAGGTCAAAAGTATCACTTGCTTAACAATTTCACCTTTGAACTATCCCGCATCATTTTGTAGAAGGAGATGATAAAATGGGCAAGATTTCAATTCTTTAGAGGGTGAGCTGTCCATAAAACTGGTATTCTCCAATCGTTTATGACATCTCGTAATGTTTATTTTGTGTCACTATTTTGTGTTTAAGCATATTATTTAAATAGAAGAGAATCTACTTTATCGGCTAGCTGTTTTATCTTCTAGTATCGGTTCAAATGGAGGCTAACGTCAATATTCCTCCAATCTTGGAAACAGTCTTCACCCGTTTACACTGTATCACTGCATTGCATATTCCAATCGACATTCTATTCATCCATTTCTAATATCATAGCTCGCTTCCACTTATATAATCCTCTTATTTCAACTTTATATCGTCTGTTCAAAATCTTACTCAGCTGGAGAAGCAAAATATTCAGAGTTTGTGAGAAGTTTTGAATTATCTTATGCTCTGTTAATCTCATTCAATTATGACTGATGTTTATAGGACTCAAATCATAGGTGTCTTCGAAACATTGCTTGTATATCCTGGGACCATCGAGTAGGTAACGCAGTTGTTAAGATACGAGTACTAGGTAAGGATGGCAAATCAATTGATGAAGTAGTGAAACTTCATCAGTTGAGATGGCTGGGACACGTGTTACGTATGCCCAACGACCGACTGCCTCGACGTGCTATGTTCAGTGGTATAGGAGTAGGTTGGAAGAAAGCTAGGGGCGGCCAGACCAAAACATGGCATAAGTTCATGAAGTCACTGACAAGTGGACTGAGTCATGTTGGTAGGTGTAGACTACCTGGTAGGGGACCGCGAGATGATAGCAACCGATGGTTAGAGACCCTGAATGACATGGCTCAAAATCGTTTGCAATGGCGCAGGTGCATCCACTCTCTGTGTTCTCCCAAATTCTAATCTTCTGAATTCTTCATGTCCCTTTCTGTTTTCCTCTCTCCAAATTTATTTCACTGGATTATATTCTTTAAATAACATCTCCAAACACTAATCTTCCCGATTACTGCTTATACTCTTATTACCTCTACCACTACGGGATTTGAATCGACAACTGCATCTCTGTGCTTATGTGGTGTGGCAACTCGAACTGATGTACGTACGTACGAAGTTCTACGTTGTTACTGACTGACTGACTGACTGACAAACCTTTTTCTATATTAGGAATATTCTCTAGTTGTTTTATTTTTGATTGCATTTCAGCTATCGAAAGCTTTCAAAAGCTTGTTTGGATGACAGTCTTATCGTTTTTGATCATCAAATCAGTACTGAAACATTTTCATTAGATGGTTCAAGCCTTGTAGAACAATCCATCAAAGATAAATCTAAAAATGAAACTAAATATACATGCTACTTGTACATTCAAATGCAATTATGTTCTCCAATAAGTTTACGTGATTGGCTTGTTTCTCATAGTATTCCAGAATCACGTCCACCACGAGTTGAATTGATTTGTATGTTTCGTCAAATTGTTGAAGCTGTAGCTTATTTACATGATCATTCTTTAATGCATCGTGATTTGAAACCTTCAAATATCCTGTTTGATTTAACCAATCGTCTTAAACTTGCAGATTTTGGTTTAGTTACTTCTATGGTCGATGATAAATTAAATCAATCAGACAGCTCTTGTATTAATTGCAATAAACAAGGGGAGCAGCCCTCATGTTCTTCAGTGACTACTGTTGTAAATGATTTGAATGGTGAATCAGAGCATAATAATAACAATGCCATTATCGATCGACAACTATATCCTTTGAAAGAAATTAGCACTGCTCAACAAAAGCGTTCTGTATTGACACGTAGACATACTGATCACGTGGGAACAGATCTATACATGAGTCCTGAGCAAGTAAGATATTTTAGCTAAATTATGTTTTAGAAATCATTGTCATTAGCTATTGTATTATTGTACAAACATAATTTATGTTGGCGGTTCTCACATTTCTCTGGTTTTTAATTTTTTCGCTGAAATTATTAAGTCTCTGTAAATGATGACTACTAGTTCAGTCAGTCAGTCAGTCAGACTGACTTGTTGAGACCTTACCGCCAGAGACGGATATTCGTGGGACAAGGTGAGGTGTGCATTTTTAAGGTCGACCTTTTCTAACCCTACCCCACCCCTCCTTGTGGGAAGGCAGCATCGCTGTCATGCTGGTTGTCTGATGGAAACACCTTACTGCTGTCACACCTCTGTACAGTCAGCAGTACGACTTCGCCTTCGGACCTTGGGTTTGTTGCTCTTAGTCTTACCGTTCTTCAACCGTCCTTTCTGACGTGGTAGGACCTTGAGGAACAGTTGTTGCAGTCAGTATAGCTCGGTCGCTTCATCACGATAGGCAAGTGCGATCACCACGTCAAGGTAGTAACAACGGTCGGACCAGTATCCTGAAGGAACAAATGGCGTATAAACCAATCGTTGGTCACCGGCTACCCATGGGATTGCATCTCCTCACGATGCTGCACTGCCTTGTGAGTCAGACCTGTAGGTTAAAGGCTCGGGGTGTGGCCCCCTAAGAAAACCACCTGCTTCGGTTTGGGCACCCAGGTAGTATCACAGCCTTCACACAAATTAAATGAGATTTGTGTGGTGCATATGTATTTGGTGCCTTCTTGTACCAATATCTGTGTTAAAATAATAATAATAATAATTCCAATTCTGTTTAGTCGAATTTAGAAAAACCTGCGATATGGTTGAGGTCATATTCAATGTGTTCGTTTGCCTTAGGTACGGTGTGAAATTAGATGGTGGTTGGAGGTAGTCGACGGGAAACCCCTGACCCGTGTTTCGTGCTACTTGGCACTCGTCAGCAAGGTGTACCTGTAATCTTGAGGGGACTGATGCTCCCTGGTGGATTCGATCTCGTGTCACCCAGCTTCATATGATCGATAGCATTCGATCTGCACTAATAAGGACTAGACGCGCATGACATTGATCACCACCCAGTGATCAATCAATTGTAATTGGGTACGATGTATTACACTTGGCCTACTTAGTTTATGACTATCTGTCTTAAACAAATTCCGTCGATCAAGGGACTCCTTGTAATTTATAAGTCCATCGATACAACATAATGCCACACGTACCATAGTGGTTGGTATGTTTCCTTGATTGTCTGTTTTATGGAGGAACGAGAATAAGATGCCTTAGAGTTTACTCATAAAATTTTTCACTCAGTTTAGAATATCCCCTAGAAGCTAATATTATCGTCAAGTTTGGTTGATGAAAATGAATGCTATCTAACCACTGTTCAAAATGTTTTTATACGTTTGTTTAAATTTTTATAAGTTAAATGACCAAAGGAAATGAATTTATTTCACTACTGCTTATTTTGTGCTAAAGGCTCTTTACTGTGGTCAAACACGTCTTCTTGATTATAGCGATTATGATAATCGCTCGGGACTAATTGCTTTAAAAATTCCTCTATATTGGATTATAAAGGATCTGTTTTCTCAGTAGTTCATTAAGTATGCTAGTAGGTTATTTATTAAATCCTCGTTTATGACAGTAACGAGCCTTTAATTACTTTAGGGCGTTATATATCCCACTTATAAAAAGCTGGAGTCTAGTTCCATAGTATACCCCACTATTAACAATACTTGGTATTTCACTAAGTATATATCTGTTATTATGTAACGAATGTTGTCACGACTTTTGTAAATCCAACCGTGAATTTTTAATCGTTTAAACTTTCAGGAACGAGGGGATAATTATAATCATAAAGTGGATATCTTTTCATTGGGATTGATCTTTATCGAATTGTTGATAATATTTAATACATCAATGGAAAGAATATTTACATTGACCCGAGCAAAACATCAAAAACTTCCTAGGGAATTTACAATCTGTAATCCATTCGAAGTGAGTTTATTTCTTACCATGTTGTTTTGATGATATTTTACATAAAACAAGACAAAAATGCTTGTTTTTTGACAGGAAGTTAAAGTGTTTCATTAAAGATATTTTTGCTATAAATTAGGATTTTATAAAGGTTGACGAACAATTTCTTGAATATCAAAATAAAAAGAGAAAAATAAATGCTAATCTATAAATGATATTCTGTGATCGAGTGATAGCTCGTCACAAGATCGAATGACTGATTTAAGATTAAAAAAAACAAATCACTAACCATAGGAATCTATTTTCTATTTAATACAATCACTTGCTTATACACAAATTATTAACACAAAAATAAATATGATCGAATGATATAATTAAGTGGTTAATATCATTTTTGTAGCCCCTTTACTCTCAAATAAATGAACTCGCAACTACAAGGCCTAATTCTAGCTCGTCCTATCAACTCTATATTGATTAATTGTGCTGGTTTGCTTTAAATATTTTAATTTGGATTTGTATATTATTCCAATTCACAATTAGTATCGCTCATACTATGGTATGGAGTTCGATTCTATCATTGTGTATGTTCTTAACACTTGATCAACTAAAGAGTTCAGAGTGAGAAGTCCAATGTTTTATGTAGAGCTTTTTTGTTCAAGGCAGGATCGATTTGATTTTTATAAATACATGCAGCCATTGACCTTTGATAGGTAAATATTTTGCTTAAATTAATCTCTTACACTTGCATTGAAACACTATATAATTTGTTTGTTTTTTAGCTTACTGACTTAATAGCATTCTACTAACTTGTTATAGGATCCTTAATCTTTGTTTGGTTGAGTGATTTGTGAAGATATCAACTTAACTTGAAGATAGTTGTTGTCAATACATGACAAAAGCTATCTTTAGATCGCTATACTATTATGATCAGCTTATATGTGCTTCTTTATCAAACTGATCATTATTACACGTACAGTTTTTCCTGTATTTTAGTGACCACTGAGTTAAAGTAATACACTCATTCAGCTTAATCTGAGCAGTCGGCATAATTTTTAGCTTGTATTATAGAGCTACTTACTGAGTTCAGTACGTATTTTTTAATTATCGATTTTTGTATTATTATTTCATTATTTGTTGATGAGAACTATTTCTGTTGACGCCTAGATTAGTTAATTAACTTTTACTTTTTACACGCTTGTTTCTTTTTCTACAAATTTTCTTACAAAAATTGTCTGTTCAAGCTCTTCACATGATAGAAAACGATATCGTACGATTCTATCATTCTGTTGATAGTCTATGATTCATTATGGATCAGTTTTGATATGTTTAAGTTTTTAATTTGTTAACGTATAACGGAAACAGTGGTATTACTAGTCATCTATTCTACAGTTATAAAAATAGACTCTCTCCCTCTTTCTCTCTCTGGCACATATTTCCACAAGAAATAATTTGAGTTGATATGTAAAGATTAGATTGGAAATCCTTATTGACTATGTCGTAGAATATCTAGTTCGTTTTTTGAATCCATTAAGACAATGATCGTAATCTTGAATGTCTGACATTCCAATCATTATCTGAGAAACATTTTTTCAAAGTTTCTTTACTCTAATGATTTTAATCAAAGTTTGTTAAACAATGTTTTCATCATTTACATTTATTTAGACTGAGTTCGTTCTCAAACTTTTGGATTACGATCCAGTCAAACGTCCTGACGCTCCTGCAATCTTAGAAAGTGCACTTATTAGACAATCTGTTTCATAGCAGCAATGATGGGGTATTCATTTTTTTCAGTACTCAAAGTACAAAGTTATCAGATTTTTGTTGTTACATCTTAATATATTTGTTTATATTTTAATTTGATAACCTCTCCTGTGATCTGTAAAATAAATGTGTTTTTTATACAATTGGTTATCTTGTATAGATGCTGTTGTTTTTCCGTAAAACAAGGTTTTCTTTCATTACACAGAGCTATTTTATCTGTGAACTGCCGACATCGTGATTTTAAGTTTTAGTGGATATCAGTTAAGGAGGTTATAAATCGTTCATATAGCTATTCGATAAAGGCCTAAAAGTTTGCTCAAGGTGCCAAAATTCCAATAGCCAAGTGATATAAGTGACTTCCTAACATAGTATATTACATGAAATTGTAGTTAATTAGTGAATTGTGCTACTATCAAACAAATAAAACAATTCAAGCGAATGCTAGGTACACATAATTGCTAGAAAGGCCTCGAATAGCACATCGCTTTCCTGGTTTCTTCATTATGACTGTGATTGATGCGTTTCATGGCAATCTCTGTCACCATATTGAATTCAACAATAATAAACAACTGTAGGACTTGTATTCTTCAAGTTCAGTAAAAAAGTAGTTGCTCCATATATCTGGCGTAAATTTCGAAGTTCCCGACATTATATTGGTGGTCATAGTCATTTTTGCTGATATCAGTTAAAATACTTGAAAAACTGTAATTAGAATGCAAGAGATACAAGAAACCAGGGTAACATAGGTTCGATTTTTTAATTTACAGTTTACATTCATCCCAATGCGTTAATGGGATATAATCCATACCAACAGTTCCACATAGTGAGAGGTAGCCTAAAAGGATACTGCAACACAAAAATATTATTTATCAAAATCCGCGGCTGATAAAATAGGGAAAGAAACGAAGTGGGTAGGATTTCCTTGATCACCAAAGTGCAACCCCGTTATTAAGAAGTTAGTAATTATTTTTTTGTTTCACCATACCTTGATTTGGATCTCGTACAGGATCACTACAAGACTGATGAACCTGACAAGATGACCTCTGAAATTTGTTTCCTGTGTCGGTTAGGTCCTCATAACCCAACGGTTGGGTGTGGGGACAAATAATTAGTCTGACAGACGTCGGAAGTCCTTGTAACCAAACTTCGGAAAATACGTCGTTGAACCTGTCAATTTTTTCATAGCCCTAACGTTCAGGACGTTGACCTGTCCCCTAGCTCACACTTGTTTTGTATCTTTTGCTGTCGGTTCTCCTGAAATAATTGACTGTTTCTACTTATCATATGCTTCAGATATAGGAACGCTATATATATAGCCTCCTAGTTATTTTAGCAAGTTATTGTGGCAGTGGAATTCTGACTTTAAATGCCCCCCCCTTGCTAAATTTATTTAGATCAAGCTTAAACCTCAAACTGATACTCTATTGCAGTTCTGTCGAATAGTATTTCACGAACAAAAATTGATTATTTTCAGGACCTCCTAGAGTACGCAACAGCATGATTTAGGTGACAAATAAACGTTTTGAACAGGGCGATTTTAAAATTGATGGTTTTTCGGGGAACCCTGGATTTCGTTTGCAAGTAATTCAGGGTCAACACAGTCTCAACACTTCTAATTATTCCAAATTGCCAAGATTCTGCCAAGACCTTAAGTAATTTCAGATCCTTAAAGTAAAGGTTTTAACGAGTTTTTTCATCAAGGTAAATGCAACCTTTAGGGAAATTCAAACAGGTTAATTGAGGTCACCATTGAAAAACTAGCTAATTGAAAGATCAAACCGATTCCCTAGCCGTTTACCATAAATCTTGAACACATGAGAAAAGGTGCAAAATCGAGGACTGGTGAAATAGATTTATTTGACCAACAAATAAATCAAAATGATTCGTGTTTAATCCACTTTCCTTATGATTTATTTACAATTAGATTAACAGACATATTTGTTTGATCTAAATTGGGTCGTATTTAACAGTTAGAATTCAATAAATTAATGCGTGTACACATGTTTACCACATTATACATTTATGCATTTATTTGCCTTAAGATACAAACACCTGTCACGTACAACTATGAAAAAAATTTCATATGTCATTTTACTCCAGCAGATTATGCTTGCCAAAACAATGAAATTTCATAACTTGTTTATTAACCGTCTTTGAGAAAATTGAGACACGTACATTAAGTATACTTCAAGAGGTAGAGCACAATTCTCTAGTAATCTGCATTATATTTGGGACTGTCGAATTTTCACTTTGAGTGTAAGAAAACCCATGATTTAGATAATTGTAGGTGATATGTGCCCACGGTATTCATATGCAGAGTAGGAACTCCGTTTTCCAGTGGTATATCCTGGTAACAATGCTGTGCAGCTGCCGACTCTGGGACAACATACTCCTGTTACCCCCAAATGCCCTGGTATGACCGAGAGTGGGGTGGGTTCTCCCTCTCGAGATGCTCTCACACGGCCACGCGCATACAGCCTCTGCCAGGGAAGTCCTACTCATTGCCTTCTCGTGGCGGGGGTGTTGTTTACGAAAATGAGAGGACGAAAAGCAAATATCCGGCGCTTTAACCGAATCCCAAACCAATGGTGCACATGGGCTCCAGTATCTTGCAGGAACAAATGGCGTATGAACCAATCGTTGGTCACCGGCTACCATGGGAATGCATCTCCTCACTATGCTCCACTGTCTTGTGGATCAGACCTTTAGGTCAAAGGCTCGGGGTGTGGCCCCCTAAGGAAACTACCTGCTTCGGTTTGGGCACCCGAGCAGTACCACAGCCCACACACAAATATGGTGTGCATATATATTTGGTGCCCTCTTGTACCGATATTTATGTGTTGAAATAAATAAATACCCATTGTAGAGGGGCTTAGGCCACCCGCCAGCAATCCTTTCCGGTTGTTTCCAGCTGCTGTTCATCCTTTAAATGTTTGCTTCCAATTCCCGACACAGTGTGTTCTTTGGCCTTCCTCTTTTTCGCTTCCCTTCAGGATTCCAAGCTAGCGCTTGCCTTGTGATGCAGTTTGTTGATTTCCGTAATGAATGCCCTATTCAGTTCCAGCGTCATATTAGTGCGGGTAATTGCTGCTACCAATTAAATGTCAACCATAGTTATACAGATACTCACAACCATCTGGAAACCTAAGTTACTTGAACATATTTCAAGATGATGCATAATCAAATGCACTTTGTGCATTAAAAATGTCCTAATAAAATACTCAATAATCCCTATTTACCTATTTTCACATTCTCAGCAATACAGGAAGGTAGAGAGTTGTTGTTAACGGGTTTAAATGCCAGATGTGACAAGCTTACAGCGTATACTAAAGCTACTTGGAGAGGCCAGTCACATTATTGCTTCACAGAGCTAAGAGTATTTGGATAACATCGCCGTAATACTCATCTGTTAACTACTTAAATTGGTACTGTCTAGGATAATTCGGTTTATTAACGCCGTCATTAGACAGGGAAATACATAACCTTATCTGAAAAAGCCATTGAACGTCTTAAGGAATGCAGTTTATTTGCTTTTATCCTCGAAATGGAGGTCACATTACCATTTAGCGGACATCGGTTTGCAATATTCCGATTAACGTCTGTCACGCAAGGGGAATAGGTAGTCACACTAATATCTTGAACTTTCCAGAGCAGAAGGTGTTTAACGTGATTCAATAGAATTTATTTATATAGAGTACGAACTAACTTTCTGTGTAATGTGCTTAGAAGTAAACGTTGTCATTAGAGAACCTTTGGTGTTTAATACATATAGTAAATGCACACAACTGCATACTCATTCAAATACTACTATAATATCGGTTTAATTGTGTCCGTCAAGTGATATCATACTTTATTTATTACTTCTATACATGCTAGTCAATTCAAGTACTTGGATACACGTTGAGGAACAGTGAAATCCAAGTTCTTACTTAATCCTTTTATTTTCAGTCATCTAATATACAGATAACGACAATGACAGAACCTTGTCTCGAAAATGTTGTACTCTTCTCTTACGCGGATATTAACATGTGGTTTTTACGGAACTAAGTGAACAATTCTTAGAAAACATTGTGATATGAACACACAATCACAGTTTACTCACGTTATCGATGTAGTACTCAAAAAACCAAAAAATAAAATATACATATGTGTTTTTCAGGAATAATTTATGTCCCCACATTCTTTCCATTAGGAATAAAGTTGTTGGTATGTTTATCACGTAAGAGTCGGACTTTCGTTTGGGGCATTCTACAAATGGAAAAAAACGGTTAACCTTTCAATTAGCATTATCAGAAGGGTTTTTTGTGGATATTATAATAATTTAATAGTTGATTTCACGAGTCAATTGAAGCGAAACCACCATGTAATGACCGTAATATGAAACGTTTCCATGCTCATGGTAGAGAAATAAATGCCCAATGTAATAAGTAAACCTAGAATTGAACGATGTTAGGTCCTACAGTGTTATGTGAAACGTGCTTGATATACATAAGGTAAAGTCAAAATGTTTGTTGAATTCAAAGCTTGTGATTTGATTGGTAAGTGGTAATTAAGCCAGCTGAAAAACGTACAGTAAATTTCTTTGAAGATAAGCCTTTAACAAAATGCAATAATAACATCTGATGAAGTCTACCTTTTCTTTGCATCACCATCTACACTGATTTACTTTCTCTTGCGTCTTGAAGGAAAGCCTGGTTTGCGACATCTGTCGCTTGTGTTATTTCGTCTTTGGTGCAGGTCTCGAAAATCTAATAAAGCATGTTGACTGTAATCTTGGATTACTAAGAACCGTTCCACAGAATAGGTAGATACTTATGCCCATTTTGCTTTAAGATCCATGTAAGGTATAAATAATAATCAGTTTAGGCACCAACACGTCAGTTAAACCAGCTTTCGTGGACTTCATCACGGATGATCTCCGACGACAGTCACCTCAAATTTAGTAAAAGGCTGCCACAGCCTGAGAATTAACCACGAGATTTTTGTACTTTTCATTAAACTTCTAGAGTACGGCTTATGTATATAAGCCGATACCAGCCTCTTCAAACAGGACTTTAGGTTGAGACGGTGAACTGTGGAGTTAGCTGGTTTATTACCAGTTCTCAGAGTAGAAACTATGGCTACGAAAGAAAAAACCTGTTTGCTTACGGCAACGACTCTATATCATTTATTGATTTTGTTATTACAGAAGAGAACAAA